AAATCTTCGTTTGTGTTCTACTGAAGAAACAAAGTCACCTACATCTTGGATGCCCTGGGGGTAAGCAGATAAACATCACATTTTCATTTTTGGATGAACTATCCCTTTAAAGCCATGTTGCTGCTGCCGTTTTTCTTCCGCTGACCTTAACCCATGCCTTGCTCTCTCATTGGCTGTAGCTCGTCGCGACTCCTGACAAAGACTATAGAACCTGACACCACGTGACGTCGAGTCGGCCGACCGGTCCAGATATTTGGCACGCTAGATATTTGTTTGGCATCAGCGAGGTGTTGGCGACGCATCAGCGAGCCTCTTTGATGCGTCGTTGATTAGTTCACACATAAAGATCGAGCGCCGATCATCCGCTGATTTTCCCCTGATCACAGCCCGACCTGATTATTATAGTCATTATAGTCGTGGGAGAAGCTGGAAACGAAAACTCAAGTCGAGTCGAAAACTCTCTGCTTCCTTTGCGCTGTATTTTCTTATTTTATCACAGGTGAAGTGGATTAGATATAGTGATAGGTCGTTATTGAACGATTCGTTCATTTTGAACAAATCTTTAATGTGATTCGGGAAGAACGTGTCGTCTCGGGGAGTGATTCGTTCAGTCACACATGTGCAACATTCGATAGGTCTGTGCTGGAATTAGTTTACCTGTTTCGAGTCTTCGGGTTTTTCGAGTCGTTCGCTCTTCACGTGACTGCCCCATAAGCTTAACCTATGCAGTCTGAGTCGTTCGACTCGAAAAACCCGAAGACTCGAAACCAATCAATTCTCTTTCCGGCTCAGACTGCATAGGTTAAGCTTATGGGGCAGTCACGTGATGAGGTGAGCTAATCATAGACTGAAGACCCAGGTAAACAATGAATTAATCTTTTCTGTTTCTTATAGCATTATATTTTTGTCTTGTTTGTAGTGTGATCAACGTTTGCGTAAGTAGTAGATGTAATAGGGAGGTAACACAACATTTTAATTATATTTTGCTAAAATGAACGAAATGACTCGAAAAAAGATTTGTTCATTTGCTGAACGAGACTAAAAGGTCAGAGTCTGTAAAATGATCCGAAATTCCCATCACTAATTAGATGCAATATTTGTCATGTAGAAAGCCTCCTGAGTCGCGACTGCAAACAGCAAATCTATCCGAGCATTTGTTGAAACTAATCTGCAAAAAACAGTTGCTAACCTCACAAACCAATGTCTAGTTGCATAAACACAGCCACTATGTTAAGACGGTGTTCTGACCAACTAACAGTTTGCAAAGGTGTATTGACTTAAAAAGTGTAACGATCAGTCTTGAAGAAAAAAATGAGATGACCAACTTTAGTATAAGTACTTTGCAACCTTCCACTGTCACATTGTCATATGGCTGTACCCACACTTGCATATTTTTAATGACCAGAAACTTAACTTTCACACTAATCAGGAGGACTAATAATAAGAGAGAAGTCCATCAAACATTGTGCTTCTTTGCACAGATTTTTTCATTTTATTGTTTAACATAATACAAAGGTTAAATCTAAACACACTATTAATCCACAGAAAAAGCACACTATTAATCCATTTAAATAAATAAATAGATATGGCAGAAATGTTTATTTGTAAACAGCTCTCACTCGCTGTGGAGGAGCACTGATGCACCTGAGCAAAGTGAACACACGGAGCACTGAATATTGTTTGTAAATACTTTCCAGCATTTCAGTAATAACAATGTACATCTTTAAAATGCATGCAAATCACAGCGAAGCGCAACAGTTCCCGTACGGTGCTCAGCAGTGGTCAAAAATAATTTAAACAGTGCATTTTGAATTGATCCCTTCTTGAAAACTCAGAGATGTGGATTCGGACGGCAGTGAAATGACCACATGACCTTTTTGTTTGTTAAAAAAACAGCAGATTCGGACGGCAATAAAATCACTGTCTAACCCCTGTAAACTGACATTTTTTTGATTACGTCCCCATGAGAAATAATTACTGTCCAGATAGGGCGTAGTACTCATAAAACAGCAGACAAAAAGTACCTGGATGACCTACCACTTTCGGGATCATAGCTCACATGACAATATGGCAGCTGTAGCACATCTGGATTAAATTCATGCCATATAGAACATATATTGTTTAACAGTCATGATGTTCTTCATCAAACGTAGTACCTACTCAGACCTCCATCAAGACATTGGTGTATCCTTGTTCTTTTAAAAGAGGCAGAGCCACCAAAGAACCATCCAAAAACACACAGGCTGCCTGGCTGGTCCAATCCAGTGATCTACAGAGGGAAGGGAGACACATTTTATTGTTTCAAGCTCACTGTTTAAAGATTTAGTAAAGCTCTCAGTGCCTCCTGTTTTACTTACTGTTTATTATAGCGTCACTCTTGGATCCGTTCCTTGATCCTGGAGATTCTGGAGTTTCTGTACAAGATAATAAAAGGTTAGGTAGTTCAAAGTGAATAAGAATAACGCTTTAAATATAATATTTCCATATATCCCGAGTTTCTCTCACCTTCAACAGTCACTGTGATCAAGAGTTCTCCTTCAGAGCCCAAAACTCTGTAAGTTCCTGCATCGCTGGCTGTAAAGTTATTGATGATCAGATTTCCATCTCTGTCATTCAGCTGGTCATTTTGAACACCATGACCTCTCTTCCAGACATCCTTCCACTTTGTGCTTGTTCCGCTGTGATGCTGCACTGTATCAGCATTTGACAACAGAACATCCAACTTCAGCTTCTCACTGATTTTCACAGAAATCTCATCTGAAGAGAGACAGAAAGACATTATTATTATTGTCTCAATCGATCAAGGCCATAAGCACATATTTATATTTATGGAACCAGATGCAATCATGACGCAAGCATGCATGCCACATAATTACTAAAGGAAATCCAGAAAGCTAATGCTGATGGTTTGATCAGTTTTGACTTTACCATAAATATAAAGTTGGTACTCCAGCTCTGTCAGAGCATTTTTGTAATCGAATCTAAAAATGTATTTCCCAGCGTCACTGAAGATCAGATCCTTGATGACGATGTCACATGCTTCTTTTTTACATACTCGGGCACGCGCACGTTTATGTTCTTCACTCGGACAAACAGGGATGACAGCAAAGTGGATGCGTTTTCTGTGACGAATGAAACGAATATCTGAAATCTCGCTGGCCTTGTATTCACATATCAGTATGGCGTTGCCTCCCTTTCTTCCTTTCACAGGTATAGTGGAGGTTCCTGCAAATACAGATTCATTCAATACTAAGTACCAATACTGAAAAATAAATGTGTTTCTGTTTATTCTCTGTAATCAGTGTCACCATAAAATATTCTAGTAGAGTTATTTTAGTGCTTTTCTTTTGCTCAAGAGGTTCCACCATACATTCAAGTGGATTCAATGTTGTGATTCAATGGTGGAGCTTCTCCAAAATTTAGCATCGGGAATGAACGTAGTCTGCGCCAAAAGCCTCGTGGGCAGCACGTCTACATGTAGCGCCGTTGTGCTTCGAGCGTCCCGTGTTCGAGTTCCCGTCCCCCCCTCTCTCTCAAAAACTGCTAAAAAAAAGAATGTAAAGATTTAGGTTGTAGGTTCAAGCTATTGCCCATGAAATTGAAACAAAACGCAAAAACATTACAGTATGAGAATGTGTTTAAATCCTAGCTAATTATTTTCAATTTCTTTAGCGTTCAGAACTGTTCATCTCGTGAGACAGGTTTGTGTTTTATTGGTCTTTCAGAGTTCACAAACAAACCTCATTCATGACAGTAGACCCTGACCAAACAATGTATAATAATTAATGAACAAGAATGAACTGCATGGATAAGTCAGTGACGACATGATGTGCAATGATGAAGTAATATGCTGGGGAATTTCCACCATCAATCCACAAATACCAACAAAAGAACTTCACTTAGGGGTGCAACAGAAAAAAAAAAAACCAATGGACTAGAATAACTCTAGCTGGAACTGAAAAATCAAAACAATTGACATTTTATAAACAAAAAATGCTGGGTTAAATACAAGCCAGTGCTGGGTAAAATAGGGACAAACCCAGCAATTGGGTTGTTTTGACCCAGCGGTTGGGTTACAACCCAGAAGGTTGAGTTAAACATTATATTTTATAACACCTTTTCTATTTCTAGTTCTACACATATACACTCTAAAAAATGCTGGGTTAAATGCAACCCAGTGCTGGGTAAAATAGGGACAAACCCAGCAATTGGGCTGTTTTGACCCAGCAGTTGGGTTACTACCCAGAAGGTTTGGTTAAACATTATATTTTATAACACCTTTTCTATTTCTAGTTCTACACATATACACTCTCTGGGTTTGTCCCTATTTTACCCAGCACTGGCTTGTATTTAACCCAGCATTTTATAGAGTATACACTGACCACTATGATAGATGATGCAAAACAGCAGCAGATGCAGAAGCAGAAGATTCGACCTGATGAGAATACAGACAGCACATAACAAACATATAACAAAGACATGTATACACGAATAAAGCGCCTGGCTGAATGATAAAAGGCTATACAACTGACCACAATACAGTCGAAGCCTTCCGTTTTACCTTTAAGATTTGAGACATCAAACTAATCTCAATCTTTGGTTTAAGAAATGATACGATCATTCAAACCCAAGACACAAACAACACGTTTTGGAAATTCAGTCACGAGCCACAAAACAATCTTATCGTCAACAATTTAATAATTACAATAACGAGTGAAAATCATAACCACTGTTATCATCGTAATCATAATGGACACTTTCATGAACATGTCCACTAATTTCTAGCGGATTTAGTTTCCCACGAGCATAAACACAACAACTGATATAATAACACAAAGCCATGCATTTTAAAACAAGAATACTTACATTGTGACGGTTCTGTATGGCTCGTTTGATCTGGCGTCAAAACTGCGCGCACATCGCACGCTTAGAGAGATATTATAAACTGAAAGCAACTCGGAGACTGGGAATATTTGGTGCTTCCCACTGGAGCAGTATATGACTGGTAATTATTGCCCTCTACTGGTTGTTATTTTCAAGTAGAGCAGAATGAATGCGCTTTATAGCCAAATATGCTTTCTAGAAATTTGTCTTGGTGACAGAATGACAGCGCCAAGGATAAAATAAGCATTTTTTTAAAAAGTCAAACTATATGTAAAAACACACAATATACAAAAATAGACAATATGTGCATGCATAATATATGTACAATATGTTATATACAACTGCAAAGGAATGTGAATAATGTGCATGCCAAATAAACACAAGATTAAGTAGTGCTGTGTATTGCACATGTTTATACATATGTTTAAAAGCATGTGCAATACACAACACTGTTCTGGTGCTCAGTGCTGGAGTGCTGACCTGTGTAAGTCACTGGAAGGGGAGAGTATTGATTAACGGATGTGCAAGGAATCAGCAGACAGTAGGTGAAACAACTTCTCCCCCTCACCTCACAGGAAATACAGACTCTGCGGGGCTTTCTTGTGTGAGTGTCCCATTACAGGTCCTGAGGGATGGTGGTCTGAATCTGAATGACTCCACAGCAGCCGCAGTGCTGTTCATGAGGAAGGGGATCAAATCCATCCGGATAGAATAGAATGCAAAACTGCGCGCACATCGCACGCTTAGCGAGATATTATAAACTGAAAGCAACTCGGAGACTGGGAATATTTGGTGCTTCCCACTGGAGCAGTATATGACTGGCAATTATTGCCCTCTACTGGTTGTTATTTTCAAGTAGAGCAGAATGAATGCGCTTTATAGCCAAGTATGCTTTCTAGAAATTTGTCTTGGTGACAGAATGACAGCGCCAAGAATAAAATAAGCATTTTTTTTAAAAGTCAAACTATATGTACAAACACACAATATACAAAAATAGACAATATGTGCATGCATAATATATGTACAATATGTTATATACAACTGCAAAGGAATGTGAATAATGTGCATGCCAAACAAACACAAGATTAAGTAGTGCTGTGTATTGCACATGTTTATACATATGTTTAAAAGCATGTGCAATACACAACACTGTTCTGGTGCTCAGTGCTGTAGTGCTGACCTGTGTAAGTCACTGGAAGGGGAGAGTATTGATTAACGGATGTGCAAGGAATCAGCAGACAGTAGGTGAAACAACTTCTCCCCCTCACCTCACAGGAAATACAGACTCTGCGGGGCTTTCTTGTAAACAGTGTTGCTTTAATTTAATTACTAAGCATCAATGCAGACACTAAACGACAAAGTGTTTCCACTTAGCAAAATAAAGCACTGAATAATAGCGCGTCCAGCTATTTTTAGCTGTACAGGCCCACTCGTTTTGCTGTTATTCTTCTCGTTAATTCCCTACAGCAGCTAATGGACCGGAAGGCTTGGATAGAAGCAGCTTTATACTGTTAGATGTGAAAAACAGTGTTGCTTTAATTACTAGGCAACAATCCAGACACTAAACGACAAAGTGTTTCCACTTAGCAAAATAAAGCACTGAATAATAGTCTCTATGTATAAGATCAAGTGGTGCATTTACAATTCGATTTATTGTATTCAAACACTGTGTGCAAAAATGTATTAACTATCCTCATGATTTGCCAGTGTAGTTTTTAATACTGGATGTGGTCTATCAGCTTAGACACTTGGTCAACAAAACGATTTGTGATTCCATGATCATAAATATTCCAGGTTCAAGCTCAATGACTTTTGAAAAATTAATAATTTTCACCATATTACATAAAACAAATATAGCAATGTATGTACATATAGCAATGGAAAATAAAATGTATAGCAATGTACAAACACAAATCATGTATTTTCCTGTTTTATGTCATAACATGAGTTAAGAGACTATATACCTTTACACAGATCACTTTCAGAAATCTCTCATACAAAATGTATTTGCTGAAACTGAGCTGCAAAAACAATAGCTGATCTCATAAACCAGGATACATTAACATACAGCCACATTAACAATCAGAAACGTCACATTCACAGTCAGGTAATCAGGAGGACTAATAAGAAGATGGGTCCATCAAACTTCATATGCACAATGCTTAGAGCGGCTGAAGTTTATTTTGAACAAGATCTGATCATTTCAGCCTGATCTCAGCAGTCTGAGCAGCAGATTTCAGCTCTGGTTGTGTCTGAATCTGTCATGAAGTTTCACAGAGACAGTTTAGTTTGAAAGTAAATGTAATCTTTTCAAACATCGCCTTCAAATTTCATTGAATATGTTATTTGGAAGAAAAAAAATTCTGAACATAGAACAATAATTGTAAAAAAAAACAACAACAAAAAAACACACACACACACACACACACACACACATATATATATATATATATAAATAACACAATACCAACAAAAACGTTTCTTATAAAAGTTTAATTTGTTTAGTTTTTTAGAATACATTTGTGCAAAAGCAGATTTACAAAGAATATTAAACTATAAATCATGTATTAAACAGACAAAGGAAGAGGAAAGAAAAGAATGAGTGAAGACACTTAATAAGAAGACACTTATTAAATTTAAATATTATTTAAACATATGTATACATACATTAAAAACTGTACCAAATATACATATGTGCACACACTTTGTCATTCACAGTTTGGTACAGATGTGGATGCTTACTGTTTATACTGCAAATACTTTCCTTATTGTTAAGAACAATTAGAGAAAACAAATCCTAGTTCATACGTTAGGATTGAGTAGCTTTCAGTTATCCGTCCAGATGTTAAACTAGGCCAGTAATGACCATATTTTTTGTAGTAATTCTAAAAAGTAAAAAATGGCATGGGATGCAGTCTAAAAATACAGTCAATTAAAATGTAGCAATATGTTGACAGAATCACATGCAGATCTGTTGGCTCTGAAGGCAAATTATGAGGAACCACTGTCCTGAGGTCCAGAGATTGCATCTGTTTTACTTTGGTGATGAATCAGAACCAGCACAGACAGTCCTAAAGCCTCAGTCGAAAACCAGTGATCTACAGAAGGAAGGGGGAAGATAAGGGTGAACAATTTTTAATATGATTTAATGTCTTATCACGTTTGACCAACAGGTGGCTCTGTTACCAAATTGATGTGGTGTGTTCTGTGTGAGGTGACAATGGCACACACAAAGTTTGGTGTCAATATGTCAAAGCTTTGCAGAGATACAGCCTCACAGTCATTTTGGCATCATGCCTCAAATTTGTAGCGGCGTAATACAAAAACTTTTTTTTTCTATCAACACAAAATCCATAACTTTTGCAAGCATGGTCTGAAGATGATCTGGTAAAAATCAGACCAACGGTCGAGGAGTAGTTCGAAACCTTTGGTGCCTTACCATTGGGCTTGAGTGGGCCCATGGGCCCCGCCTTTGCCCGTTTATGTTTGTTTGATTTGTTCGTTATATGCCAGTCAGAATTCAGAAATGATTAGCTGCATTTCCACTGCGCACACAAGATCTAAACGGGGCTAGAGCTTACAACTACGACTTTCGAGGCCACAATCAAACAGCATAAACTGGTATTTATGATGATTTCACAGAGAAGAAGGACACACGTATTGAATCGCATCTGCACTGATTGGTTTGTTATCACATGGCTACTTTAAACAGCTCCATTAAGCCTTTAGCCCCAAAGAGCGCACATTTAGAAAGATAATGATACATTCTCAAATGTTCACACCTCATTTCTTTACAGAGGATGATTCTAAATTATTATATTAATGTTCCACTAAATTATGCAATCATCTGATGAGTTTTGAGCGCTCTCTCTCGCCTCTTACTGCCATTACACATAGTGGGGAAGAAATGTCATCAAAATGATTTTAAATAAAAATAGCAATTTAATGAGTTTCTGTTTTTATAACATAGCTATGCCTATGATATAGGACTTAGCCTAATACACAAACAAGACTCCTGTTTTTTTTGTTGAATATCTGCACGATTGCAAATACAATAAACAATAACTTACAGAGTAACTTTCAGACACAAAATTAAATTTTACTCCATCAGAAAGAAAATAGAACAAACAGCAGAACCGCTGCCTCTCTGTGTTTTGGTCCTCAGGGTTACACGGACCAGCAAATGATTCAATCAGGCTATAAGTACAGTGGTTTGCAAAGTTAAATTAATCAGCTTTTTAAACGAATCATTTGATTCAACTCACTCATTATGACTCAGCAATTCACTTGCTGCCACCTACTGGTGGTTGTAGTTTCATATTTAAAAAAGTAGCTTATTTAATTTTTGCAATCATTTAATATTTCTACATTAAAATGTTATATTTAAACTGAACGTTTATGCACAATCCATCTATGAATTTTGTTGATAGTGATTTTATTTGATTGTTAATAGCCAGCATGTCTTTTTATTTGATTTAATTTATTGATTATAATTAATAATTTAATAATTATAATTATTAATTTAATTCATTACATTTATATAGCACTTTTTTAGGCACTCAAAGCGCTTTACATTGTCAGGGGGTATCTCCTCATCCACCACCAGTGTGCAGCATCCACCTGGATGATGCGACGGCAGCCATAGTGCACCAGAACGCCCACCACACACCAGTTTATTGGTGGAGAGGAGACAGAGTGTTGAAGCCAATCAGTAGATATGGGGATTGTTAGGAGGCCATGATGATCAGAGGCCAATGGGGGAATTTGGCCAGGATGCTGAGGTCACACCTCTACTCTTTTCGAAAGACATCCTGGGATTTTTAATGACCACAGAGAGTCAGGACCTCGGTTTAACGTCTCATCTGAAGGACGGTGCTTGTTGACAGTATAGTGTCCCCGTCACTACACTGGGGTGTTAGGACCCACACAGACCACAGGGTGAGCACCCCCTGCTGGCCTCACTAACACCTCAAATAAGATTAAATAAGAACCTGACATAAGAAGACACAGCTATGACAATAACTTTTATAATACTAATAAGCCAACA